GACAGAGCAGGAAGGAGAGGGAGGAGGGATGGGGGGTGATGGGGGACAAACCAAGGTGGAACTCTGATGATGCTAAATTTGGCAAAAGGAGACGACTTCTGTGTGTGTGTGAGCGCGCACATGCGTTGGAGACTTGCTGAATCGGCCGTGGTTCCAGTTTCACGCCTCTGAGTTTGATGGGGGGGAGGGGGGAGGAGACAAGGAGAGAGGGTCCCTAGCCACTAATGTTCCCTCAGGGCGGATGGACAAAGGTATGGAGGGAGGGAAGGAAGAAGGTGAAGGGAGAGGAGGAGGCAGGCAGGAAAGGGGACAAAGTAAAATAAGGAAATTTATACCCACCTTTGCAAACACACCATCATGTTATCATACAGAAGACACATTCTTTCTGCTGATTGTATTCTTGCTTCATATGGCTGCAGATGAGCCATTTTTAATACTGTTTTGATATTGTACCTGTGGTCGTGTATCACATCATAACAACTGCAGAAAAAAATGTAGCCTTTTCACAAGTACTGCTTGTTAAGAACCTGTAACTAGCAGCCATTTCTGTGCTGTTAGTTTGGATGATTGGGCCAAAATTATATGTTTACTGTTCTTGAACTCTCTTGAATTTGGTCCTGAGTCTGGTTTATTCTGAAAGGGAACTTATTGGCGTTAACTTCCATAAAGTTACTCAAAAATAAGTGTAGTGACAGTGAACCAAACTTACAGCAGGACAAGCCTGTAAAAGTGTAAGATTGATCCCTTTTTATTTTACTGTTTCCTTCCTTCAGTAAGCAATAGTCTTGCAGTGATATCACCATCTTCAATTTGCACTGTAATGAACTGAAACTAATGGATGCTGGACAAGGTGGGAAGTCTAGCTTCAAGTATAAAGGCTAAAATATGCAAAGCCACAGTCATGGATCTTGAGCTCCTTACCCTAATATGACCTTCAGCCCATATAGTCCCTAAAAATAACCCCACTGAAGACCAGCCAGAGTAAACACAGAGAAAGAAATGATTTGCATGTGTGTGTGTGTGTGTGTGTTTCCTGTACAGGCTCTTTACATATACACCTGTGAAAAGCTACCTGACTTTTGTTATGCAAAGCATACAAAGCATACAAAGCATTTGCTATTCATTCATCCAAAACAAACTAACTTACTGCATGTGTGTGTGTGTGTGTGTGTGTGTGCATAGGTACTTGTCATGTCTGCAAATCTCTATGTATTGAAACGCTAACTAAGCTTCATATTTCTCTCCCTAAGTAAAGCAAAGTGTGTGTGTGTGTGCGCGCGTGTGCATGTGCATGTGCCCTCATGGACATCTAAATGCTGCTGATATTACATTGGATAGTTTAAGGGCCCCAGGTCCCCTTAGGCCAATAATGAGAGAGAGGGAATGTGACTTCTGCAAATCGCTTTGACAAGGACACTCGCACCTCAAGCGACGTCCTCTTGCGCCTCATCGAACACACACATGCTCACAAACACACATACTGCAACATCCACACCTCAGCAGAATCGTAAGGTGACTGTTGCGCACTGAACAGCTGACTTGATAGAGGGCGTTTGCATGAATGTGTGTAATCCAGTTTTAATCCCATTTTGAAAGTGAACTGGGAAAACAGTTTGTTACTCATGGGTTTTAATTTTATGAAATAATGTGCAGTGGATAAAGGGAAGTTCAGTCCCATGTTGACTAAACTGAAAGCAAACTAGTCCTTTATCCCAAATCCCAGCACATGAACAAAACAAACACTGAATGAAGCATTATGGAATAAAAAAGGCCTTAATTTCCAAAACTCCATGATAACTTATTCAAGCACATAATTTTTCATTTAAAATTATAACCTGGAACTTTTCAAACTGATGAGCCTAACCTTGCTTACACACACAAAGCTCCTCCTCCGGCCCAGCTTACCTCAAAGTCATTGGCTTTGTTGTAGTGCATGTTGAGCGCCCTGAAGAGCTCAGCGTCGCGGCCCACTGTCAGCTCTTCCGCAGCAGTCACCCCCTCGTTGATTGCCTGCCGGGCAAACTTCTCCATCTGAATGTAGTAGAACTCCCTGAAGTTGCTGAACCACTTGATCAGCTGGGAGGTGATGCAGCGATTGAACTGGGATGTGAGAAAAATAGATTTAAAAAAATTACATTTCAATATGTAGTATAAGCTTAAAACAAAGTCCATTTTTTGGAAAATCTGTACTGTAAGCTGTACATATCTGTTTAAACTTGATGTATTCGGTGCTTATAGGCAGAGCAATAAATGCCGATTATGATGGCAACAACATGGGAGTCTCACCTTTTACATTCTGAACTATTGATGCTGCTCTGGACTACAGCACAAAAACAGCGAGTCATGGAAGAGACGTTTTGCTATACTTTGAGACAGTAGCAGACAGTGGTTTTGGAAAACGAAATGCTTGTTAGGTGGTGATGTACAAAGGTTGTAATGCATTTCAAACGTACAGTGTCTTCAAATGTTTGAAGAGTGAGATGGATGCAGTGGGATGTTGATAGTGATGTAGATTTGTAACAGCACAGCCTGATGCTTGTTTTGGTTCTTATTTGCATGGTGGTGTGTCATCAAATTTGAATTGAACTGGGCCTCTGTATGAGTGCTTACCTTGGATTATGGTACCACACACATGGTTTGTGTGCTTCAAAATTAATTTAACAAGCACTTTTAGACAGAGCAAGTTTATCTTATTTCCTACAAAACTGAACAAGCAAGCCTTTTTAAATAATGTACAAGATTGTTTTTTCAAAAGTAATGTCTCAAGATTCTGTATTTGAAATTTGTGTTCCACTTTCACTTGTTTAATAGATTGTAGCAATATGTGATGTGAAACATTTTGACGCACTCCACAAATACAAAGATAACAGCACTGAGTGCAAGAACATTTTATCAAATTGTCATGCTGTTGACAAAATAGAATATGAACACATACTGTACTACACAAATGAAATAGTTGATTTTTCTTGTTATTTTTTGTTGTTCACATTTTGAATAACAAAATTCCTCATTGGACCATGCTGTAACAGCTGTGTTAATATGATATAGAGGAGGAATAGAGTCAGTGGTTGAAATGACAGATGGAACAGAAGAGCAGTATGTTTCTGGTGTAATCTGATCATTTGTACATTGTTGGATTAGGTTACGTGTGTGAATGTACATGACTAAATTAATGAAATGAACATCAAGTATGCAACTGTAGATAAATTAGTGTTAAAACACGATGACAGCCCAATGGAAGTGTATGCAGTGTGTGTGTGTGTTCAGTGAACGGGAAAATGGCTTTGACACGGAGATTAAGCTTAGTATTGTTACAAGACATTGTCTCACAGGAACAAGGGATGAGTGAGTGAGATAGGGGAAACAGTGGGAGAGATGACGAGTGAGAGAGGGCAGCACGGAAAAAGGAATGCATTGAGAGACCGACAAACAGAGGACGACCGAGCGAAAGAGATATTTTTTCAGCAGTGTTCAGAGGTTGTGACATAATGGACCATAATTGAGAGGGTTGGTGTGTATGTGTAAGTCTGTAGCAGAAGGAAAAGGAGTTGGTTTTACAAAGTATAGTGACAGAAGGGGAAAAGGCATGTTTGTGGGGCTACATGAGCTACATGAAAGGAACGTGATAACTCAGCAGTTAAAACAAAATGCAACTGCGCACACAAGACAATGTCATCTGTCCATTCAGACAGAGGGTGTCTCAGACACCCTCTGAAACACAAACATAACACAAAAATCACAGAAAAAGGCCAGAATAATGAAAACCTCTTTGAAAGGATGAAGGTTTGATTCAGTGATGAGAAAAACTCAGGCAAGACCATTAATTTTCATAGTTCAAGCTTTACTGACACAAACAGACATAAGGACAAATGCAATTGGACCACAAACAAAGGACTCCTCCTGCATTTATAGATCTTCTAACCCAATGTACCCTTGTGAAAACAATGGGAACTATACATTTGGCTAAAACCTCTGGCACTAATAGAAGTCTCTACTTTATTAAGCAAGTCTAACAGAAAGGTTGTGATGAACATTTTCACCATTTTTGCATATTTTAAAGATGAAATGACTGATTACTTTGCAGCCTGAATTGAGATGATACCATGTATGTATATCCAGTAAAACTAATTTTAGCAAAGTTCTGGAAAAGGTTTACAAATATTAAATCTTATGGTTTAAAAATTTTCTTCTACAGCGTGCATTAAGAGGACAACAAGACAACAGTAGGCATAATATGAAAAAGTGAAAATGAATACCAGAACCAAACAAGTGAGAACACTCTAAACAAAGCAGGTAATTGAGAAACCCCATATTTTAACTGGCATAATGCAGCCTTACAACAATTCTTTCTAACGTTACAGAAACAAGGCATTAGCAGACATGTAAGGCATGTTTATTGTAAACCTATGGTTAAGTCCTACTGAGTAGTGGAAACATCACTCCCTTTTAAGTAGCTCCTAGGTCAGTAAATCCAACCGGTGGTCACTGTGTCTTTCCCCTACATACAGTCCCAAAGTAGTGAAATTAATTCCAACAGGTAGCGTAGCTTCAACAATAACATCATGGATGATTAATCCGCTCATTAACCAGCAACACATCAAATGCAGCAGACACACTGGCCTCAAGCAGTCAAAACAAACAGGTGCTGTGCTCCGGGGGAATCCAGTGTTGATGAGGTGATCACTAACTGTGGTGGTGGCTTCACAAGTAAAGCATTGCTGACAACACCTCCCACCCCTCACACTCCCACTTCAGACTCCTGCCATCAGGGAGAAGGTACTGGAGTCTTCAGACTCACTCCACCAGACTTACAAACAGCTTTATCCACCAGGCTGTGAGGATGCTGAACACTGTCCATCACCTCCCCTCCTCTGCCCCTGGACTGTGACCCACCACAGAATATAAAAACACTATCTTTGCTGTTTTGCACAAACCCAGTACATTCCCCCTTCTTGTTATATTACATGTAAATCTGCTGCTGACAGTTTTTACCATCATATCTGCTGCTGTTGGTCATTTGCACTACTGTCCATGTGCATCTCAATCTCACAACCATCTGACGATCTTCTTATTATTTGCACTACTGTCCATGTGCATCTCAATCTCACAACCACCTGACAATCTCCTTGTTATTATTTGCAATACTCTATCTATCTATCTATCTATCTATCTATCTATCTATCTATCTATCTATCTATCTATCTATCTCTCTATTTATCTCTATATCTATATATATAAACCCCTGCACGGTATGTACCACTGTCAAATAGAAGAAGTGGCTGATATCAAAAAATCCTACCAGTGGCTGTACAAAGCTGGACTGAAAGACAGCACAGAGGCACTAATCCTGGCAGCACAGGAACAGGCTCTAAGTACAAGATCAATAGAGGCAGGGGTCTACCATACCAGGCAAGACCCCAGGTGCAGGCTGTGCAAAGATGTCCCTGAGACAATCCAGCACATAACAGCTGGGTGCAAGATGCTAGCAGGCAGGGCATA